GAATGACTCGGGGTGAAGAAATCAATCCGAAGAGGGGCTAAAAGTGGCTCAAGTGGAAAAACTGGAAAGACAAACATGTGCGGCCACGCACAGGCTGCACATATTTGGACCCCCACTATCACACATGCGTGGCCGCGCACTGACCGCACATGTGGCCGTTCATTTTTGGACCTTCACTGCATCACGTGCGCGACCGCGCACCAACCGCGCACTGGGCATCATTTTGTAGGGTAGTATGACTTTCCAAGAAATGACGAACCACAAATGCCTCTTCTATTGGTCACGCAGGCTCATCCCGGGCACGGGCCTCGACCAATGTGCTTCAATTTGACAGCACAAGGTTCGTATCTAGCTCAGCCCAAGAACGTTTTTGTCAGAAGGCCCCTAAGAAACCCATACCGAAATGGGGAATTGATATAGGGTCCCTCCATAATGACTGTCCCAATATGTATTGGGAATTGGTTCGGCGCGGGCTCGGTATTTGCTTTGAAGAAATTGATTACGCCAATTTAATTGTTGTGCGGGAGTTCTACGCGAACTGCTCGGAACATGTGGACCATATCTGCACGGTACGATAGAAAAGTCTGGATGCATCTATCGACGCCATTAGGAGGGTTTACTGGTTGCCAGTATTTGATCGGGCAGAGGACTATTATGATACCTATAGCAGAGAGCCAGCCTCCTAAAATTTGTTTTTTAGAACAATCTTTGTGCCAAACAAAGACGTAGTGTGGATTACGTAGGGGCGGAAGTTTCACTCGGCTTCGCTCACCTTTGAAGGGAAGTGTTGGCTTTATATCATCAATAGCCACTTGCTTCCTTCTTCTAACACCACTGAGGTGAATGGTCCCCGAGCTGCGCTGATTTGGTGCTTTATCAATTGCCACGATTTTGATGTCGCTAAGGTTATTCACGACAAAATGTTCATTCGTTGTCCAGTGAAGAGGTATGGGTTCTTCTTTCCGTCCCTAATCACTAGATTATGCCGGGCAGTACGTGTACCGGAGAATAGGAACTTGGATGGAAAAGTAAAAAACGAATATAAGTTTCGGGCTGATAAAGTGACCATTGGGAAGGATCCTGTGGTACGTGTCGAAGCAAATAACGATGAGTCTGATACACTATATGAGGGATACGAAGGGCAGGCTGAGGTTGTGGCTACGTCACCCCCGCATGAGCAGGTTGCTGAGGCTGAGGGAACATCCGTGGTCAGATGGGACATGAGGATGACGACCTTAGAGCATGAAATGGCAGGGTTACGGACTTCTGTCACAGACTTTCTCGAGTTGATACACTGGCTACCTAAAATGCTAAATCTGAGAGGAAGGTTATGGCGTGGTTGCGTGCACTTGGCAGGGCTTGCCATCTCGACCCCGACACTGTCTCCGACCAGAACTGACGTTACCAGGGAAGTTTCCTTTACCTTGTAATTTTTTCTTTGTGTGGCATGGGGACATGCCACCATTTAAAGTGTGGTGTGGGGGATATTTTGTATGTATGTTGTATGTATATAGTAATGTAGAGTAGTGTTAGTTTCGTTGNAAAAAAAGAATTTCTTTTGTTAGGAGTGTATCAATTCTCCCTTGTTTTTCTTTGGGCCACGGTTCTTTTCCAAGGGTTTCGTTTGAACCAGGTATAGCTAGTTTTTATTTTTTTAGAAGTAGGAACCAGTGGGCTATAGGCTAAAATGAAATCAGGGTCTCTCAACTTCATTATGCCTTGAGAATAGCGAGTGCGGTAATGTGACGCTTAGGTTCAGTTGTTGACTCTTGTATATGTGCCTTAAATTGTATGTTCTTAAATTTGCTTAAGTTCTTTGACTAAAGTGTTTTGATGATCCAATCTGGAGTGAGTCATGTGCCATATGTATGTGAGGTTTGTTGTATTCTGTGCATTGCATTTGATGTCTAGAACTTGCCCCGTTTGTTTGCAAAGCGAAATAGTAGTTTTGTTCAGTCTTAGAAGTGATATATGCGTTTCTTTGTTGAGCCAGATATGTATATCTTACCCACCTAATTTTTATGTATTGTAGTTAAACCCTTTGAGCCGCAATCCTGTTTCTTTGGCAACCACATTACATGCCTTACCTTTTTGTTTGAATTAGCCATCTATTTGAACCCTTTAACCTCGCATGAGCACTTGAATAGTTATGAACTTAGTAAAAGTTAAAGTGTGGGGTGGTTGGTTTGGTTTTTGAGTGGAACTAATGAAACAAGGAAAAAGGTGCATCGTTTTAAATAAGTAAGAGTCACTTGAAGTGGAATAATATATATATATATATATATATATATATATATATATATATTCCTTGATAAGTGGTGATTCTTGATGTAAGTGTGCTTAAATAATTGGGAGTTAATGTATATTGAGTTGAAGGTGGAGTATGGTTTGACATAAGTGTGGGGTTCTGACTGCTAAAGTGTATGTAGAAAAGTACTTAGGGAGGCTGAGTCACACTTTTATACATATGTATCATACCCGTCCTGCAGCCTACATTACAACTAGTTAAAAGTCCTACTTGATCCTTGACTGAGTGAACTCGATTAGTAGAGTAGTACACTACGGGCAAGCCTATGGAGCATCTTTTGTGGCACGTGAATATCGTTTCTGAGAGAGTGAATTCTGTCTATTTTGAAGTTCCTCATTATTCGTGAGTTTTATTAATTGTGGGACGAGTCTCTTTTGTTGTGAGCAGGCACTTGATTCATGAAGGAAGGTAATTATTAACCTCTGTGTTAGAATAAGTGAGTAAGTTGGGAGTAATGCGCGGTACTTGTGAGTCAACTCTTGAGGTAAAGATGTTACACTATTGTGCTTAATCTATGTGAAATATTCTTGGTATGACGAGTTAGGAAAGTCGCTTAGTGAAGTTGTGTTTTTGTAGAGTGTGGTTTGATTGCTCGGGGGTGAGCAATGGTTTAAGTGTGGGGTATTGATAGTAGGCTATAATTATGTAGTTTGGTCACTATTTGCACTCTAATTGGCTTCACTTTATTGATGTTTGAGCGTTAAATGATAATAAATTGCTCCGATTGAGAACTTTATGCTTTGCAAGAGCAATTTCGGGCTATGATGAAATTAAGAAGCGTTTTGGAGCTAATATGGAGCATTGAAGGTCAAGTAAAAACTTATGGAATAAATTGGGATCCCATTTGAGGATCGGAGGAGGTTAGCACACTTAAAAAGAAGAATGAAGAATAGTGCATGAGATTGCCCAGGTGCGCGACCGTACACTGGGCCGCGCAAGTCAGGCAGAAACTGGCCAAAGTGCGTGGCCAGATACGCGGTCACCTTCCCAGGTGCGCGGCCGCGCACGTCCCTCTGAGAAAACATATTCCAAGGCTAAAATTATAGATCCAGAGGCAATCTTCCTTGACCTATATGAAGCCCGACTCTCCCAAAAAGAGGGTATCTGGGTTTTTAGAAGAACTTTGAAGGCAAGAACAGGCAAGGGGCGAGACGGAAGATTCTGAAACGAGTTTTTATCTTTCTTTCTCCCTTTTTTATCATTAATGATGAATTCTTATGTTGTGATTGTGAAAATAATTATGAGTAGCTAAACTCTTTATTCTAGGGTTTGATGGAACCTCTTGGAAGATGAATCTTTGTTGTGTTTAATATAAATTTGCCATTGAAAGTTTCTCTACTTGTTCAACTACGGGATTATTGTGGTTGATTGTAGGGTCCTCAATCGGCTATGCCTATTTAGTGTGTATTACTCAGAAAAGGGTACACGTTTAGGTAGTTGTTGAATAACATCACTCCTAACGTATATGAGGGATCAATACGGAGGGTTTAAAGGTGGGTTTTGGAATAACGAAACCTTGGTGCGATCGTAGTGAGCGGTAAACTAGTGCTAGCTAGCATAATTCGGAAGAATACATTTAGTAAATTGTTGTATTTACTCGGAAGAGAATTACGACACCTAAAGTGCTCACGATCGGTAGAGAGTATCTAGGCGAATTTTTATCTGACGTAGCAGGGAGGATTCCGATAAAAGGGGAAATCGTAACTCTAGATATTCCTAATCTTGTCTACAACAGTTGCTTTGTTAGTAATAAAATTTACAGCTTTTTAATTACCTTGTTAATTGTTAGTAAACACTCAAGTCATTATTCAATCTTGTTGGAAGTTGATTATTTGGATTATTACTAAACTAAAAGTTGTGATTAGTACGTTAATTCCCTGTGGGATTCGATTTCGGACTTGTAAACCGGATTATATTTGCAACAACCGCTTAGTCCTTTTTATAAGGCATAGTTGGGCGTGAACATTAAGCAATAACTCGAGGGTCAAAATTGAATATTTTCCGAATTACCCTGAATAAAATTTCTATACACCTCTTCTGTGTAACTATATTATAGTTATTAGCTTAAATATTTGTTCTCAATAATCACTTTTTTAGATAATCAAATCAATGTATTAAAAAAAAAAAAACCAATACTAGTTGAATCTTCTCTACTAGTATTTGTTGACTATGTGAACAGAAATTTTTTTTTTAAAAATTACAGGAAGGCAGCTGGAGCTTATCATCATAGGAAAATTAGTTCTTTAACTCAAAGATATAAACCTCGAAACTTACTGCGAACCATATATACATATGCAATTTACCTATGTGGACCCAGATTAAATTCCACCATCATTTTTACTGGCAGCTAATTTAATTCTAGGCATAAAAATTACTAGTAAATAACAAGATGCCAAATCCAAATGGTTTACATTAATAACATTCTTTCTTTTTTGGTCAATATATACTATCTATCAAGAAATCTAGAGTATATATTTAGTTAATCCACTGCAAAAAAGAATTTTGGAATTTGCCAGTAGGGAAATGAAAAGTTTACAGATGGTAACATATTGAAAGCCAGCCCTTTCAGGGTTTATATAAATGCTATAAGACCACCCAAAAAATATATATAAACACACAAGAATATAATTTTCTAGTTCTGTTTTTCAACAAATATACACACACAAGAATTTTCCAGTTCTATTTTTCAATAATGGCATCACCAAAGATTTCCTTAAAAGACCTTCACTCTTTCCATTTTAATGACAGAGAACTGTTCATGCGGCTGGTCATGATCCTATATCGCGATCCATCTGAGTCCCTGTTAGTCATGGCTTTGTGGTTCTGGCTACAAAACCATGCTCATTTTACAAATGCAGTTGTAAAGATTTCGAAGACACCTAATTTAGTGGTACACTCGTTGTCTAAAGAAGCCTCGACATGCTTGAAATGTCTGCAGTCGAAAGTCCCCCCCATGGCTAATCCTGGAGGCCAGGACATGCCACTCACTACTCTAATAACGGATAGAAACATTTCTTTCCAAATTGTGTATCAAACAAGGTTTACTATGATAAGTGGAATCAAACATTACTTGAACAATGTTTGTTCTATCGTGTTTGCAGATATTTTACTCCAGCTCTTTCCAGGGCGATCAAGAATTCTCCTGAATTCAACATTTGGTGCAATAACAGTTGTTCCAAGGACCCTGGATTGCATTATCCCGACTAAAAATGGACCATTGGATAGCTTTTGGTTCTTAAATCCTGTAGTACCAGTAGACGATCGGACTCTATTCTTGACATTCTCAAAAGGTTACCCTGTGACTGAAGCAGATGTGATTGAACTCTTCAATTCTAAATATAGAGATTGTATTGAGGACATTCATATGGTGCCATCGACTACATTGGATCATTCATTGTATGCTCGAATGGTGGTTCGAGATGTTTCAACCGTTGATCAGATTTTGAGCAGCTCTCCTATTGCTAAGTTCAGGATTAATGGAAAACATGTTTGGGCTAGGAAATATGAACGTAGAGATCAGCATTTTTAGTACTAGTACCAATTGTTGTGCATGTATACTGAATACAAAACTACATTTTACATGTATATGATAAATTATAAAACTACCATACAGCTGTGATAAATAAGTGTTTCTGGAAAAGTAATAGTAATAATAAAAGGAAAATATGTTCACTGATTCAAAATCCAATCTATAGCTTTTAATTGCATTTTTGTTTTCCCTTGCCTGGAATTGATCAGCCTCGCCCTGACCGGCTTAGATTGTTATGGGGTCCAAACTTCTGAGAAACAACAACCAATCCCAATCTAGAATTGTGTTCTTACTATTTTCTCAAATTAGTGTAGTGTTAATTAAATAAAATATTCAAGGAGATGATGAATAATTTTACGATTAAGGTTATTGCGGAGTTTTAGAGCAACAATAAAGTTGTCTCCGCGTGAGTTATATGGTCACGGGTTCAAGCTGTAAAATCAGCCACTAATACTTTTCAAGCTGTAAAATCAGTCACTGATACTTACATCAGGGTAGATTATCTACATCATACCCATGTATATAGTTATTTAACATATCAGAATTATAAACTTTACTTTGGAACGAAATTATAAAAGAAATTCTCTTGATGAAACAAAACTTTGGCAATTTATTTACTTTCTCTACTTTGTGGCTCTTTGTTTTCTATAAAAGTAAGAGATCCACTAGATTAATGTATATAAGTTATAATCCAGCGTTTAAAATTAGTCAAATTGATGCGTGATAAATGAAGGAATATAGTATAACTGCAAATTATTAGGATATGAAATATTTAGTAAGTACATTAATTTATATTAGTTATAAACTATTAGTGTACGTGCTTTACACGTGCGTTACACGTCCGCGTCAATCAATAAAAAAACATATACAAAAGTAATAAATTATTGTACGTCTACCACTAAGTATACAACTTGAAAAGATCACGTAAATATTATTAAATAATATTTTAATCTATAAAATTAAAAAAAAGTGTAATTTTTTTATAATATTGAAGTTAATCGTTTTAGCTAGCTTAATAAAAGAATAACTCTCGCCCCACATACCTTAGACCTCTTATTACAAATTATAGTACATTTTACGTAATTTATGAATATTTTATTTATTTTAAAAGAATATGTTTTTATAGTCTATTTTGCTCTCAAAATTAGTCAAATTGACCCTTGCAAAGCGAAGGAATTATATCAAAACTAGATTTATTAGGATCTTGAAACAATATTCAAATTATTTGAGATATGAAATTTAGTAAATGATTAATGTATATAAGTTATAATCTAACTCTTAAAATTAGTCACGTTGGCCCGTGATAAATGGAGGAATATTGTCACGGCTCCAAATTTTCTCTGTAGGATGTCATGATGGCACCTAGTCTCTAAGACTAGGTAAGCCTATCAATGGGGAATAACATAATAGAAATCTGAAATAAATAAAACTGCAATTCAAATAATTTCAACTCCCAAAACCAAGTAGAAATAAGTCATAAGCTTCTAAGAATTTATTCTAAGTGTCTCTATACATCAGGGTCTAAAGAGAATAAGGAAAGAAACATAATAAGGATAGAAGGAGACTCCGAGGTCTGCTGACGCTGGCAGATGTACCTTGAAGTCTCCGCGTACGGCTAGTTCACTGATGCCTGGTCTGATAGGAAGTACCTGAATCTCCACAAAAAGATATGCAGAAATATAGTATGAGTACACCACAGCGGTACCCAATAAGTTTCAAGCCTAACCTCGGTAGAGTAGTGACTAGGTCAGGTCAGACCCTACTGGAATAATAAAAGACAGGGTGCAAAGTTTAACAATATAATAATAACAAAATGACAATGGAAATGAATCAAGTAAGTAGTATGCCACGATTAAACTTCATAGAATAAGGACAAATAATACCTCGCTGAAAGAAAACAGAAATTTAAAACTTTAAAGAAATCACCAACATAGCCAAAGGCAAATGCTGCCATAAAGAAATATCAACAAGGGCACTCCCGAGGTACCGCCTCGTAGTCCCAAATCATAAATAAATTCACAATATTTTATTTCCTTATATCACCGCGGGAGCCTTCACATTTAATTTTAAAGAAAATATTTTTCACGAAATAACATCCCGCGTTATAGTCACCCTTATTACACCGCATGACTTCTAGTAGTTCCCCTACTAGCCACGCGTATCAAGCCACCCTTATCTCACCGCATGCATTTCAACACCCATACCTTATACCACCGCATGCGTATCAATATCACAATATATCATAATTTGTACCTCAAGTGCTCGAATATTTCAACTTGCCAAAATATATCAACAACAAGAATATTTTCCACAAAAAGGAGCTCACGACTCAATCACAATGAGTACAAAATCTAACAAAATATTCAAGAATGAATAACTCAACAAAAATAATATTTCACAAATTAAACACCTTGCCTTAATATCAAATTTTTAAATGTAAAATACGTCATTTTAATAATATTTAAATTAAGGAATCCAACCTTCAAATAATGCATAGAACAAAAGAAACAGAGTTTCAACTAAACAGGTAAAATACTTAGCAGGAACAGGTCAGGCAAATTTAAATTACGAAAATATATTAATGACGATGAATATAACAGAATAAAATAATTTAAATAATATGCAACAGTGATCCACACAATTTAAAGACATAATTCACATTTAGCCTGTGTACACACTCGTCACCTCGTGTACACGACTTTCAACACATCTAAATTTTCATATCAATACCAATCTTAAGGGAAATTTTTCCCACATAAGATTAGACAAGTCACTTACCTCAAACCACGCTCAATCAGTCAAGTAGTATGTCTTTTCCTCGATTTTCCGACTCCGATCGGCTCGAATCTAGTCATAATTAATTCGATTCAATCAATACAAATTATAGGAATAATTTCCATATGAAAATATAAATTTTCTAACAAAATCCGAAATTTAACCCAGAAATCGCTCGTGGGGCCCACATCTTGGAACCCAACAAAAGTTATAAAATACGAACACTTATTCAACCACGAGTCCAACCATATAATTTTTACTAAAATCCGACATCAACTCGACTCTCAAATCTTCAATTTAAACCAAGAGGGTTTTCTAAATCTTCCAACTTAAATCCTCAATTAAATGTTAAAATCAATCATGGATTCGGGTTATTTTACAAATATTGAGTTAAGAACACCAACCCCATTGTTTTCCTTGAAAATCTTTCGAATATCGCATCACGAAATTTCTTCTTCGCGAACGCGATGCCTATCAGATCTTAAGTTTCGCGAACGCAGGACGCCGATCGTGAACGCGAAGACCAAATGTGTGGGTCCCAGTTCTTCTTCTTTCTCTTCGCGAACGCGAGCTTGTCCACGCGAACGCGGTATGTGCTGAGTCCAGGACTTCGCGAACGCGACCCTTCGTACGTGAACGCGAAGAACAAAACTCCGCTGGCTTCCGGATACTCTTCGCGAACGCGAGACCTCTCTCGCGAACGCGAAGAAGTAAACAAGTAGCAACAGGTTCAACAGTTTCATGTTTCCGAAATGCGCCGAACATGATCCGAATTACGCCCGACGCCCTCAGGACCTCAACCAATCATACAAACAAGTCCTAAAACATCATACAGGCTTAGTCGAAACCTCAAATCACATCAAATAATGTTAAATCACAAATCACACCCCAATTCAAGCAAATGAAACTTAAGAATTCTCAACTTCTATATTTGATGCCGAAACCTATCAAATCAAATCTGATTGACCTCAAATTTTGCACATAAATCATAAATGACATAATGGAGCCATAAAAATTTTCAGAACCAGATTCCGCTCCCGATATCAATAAGTCAACTCCCCGGTCAAACTTCCAAACTTAAGTTTCTATTTTTAGTTCAAGCCTAATTGAACTACGGACTTCCAAATATATTTTCGGACACGCTCCTAACTCCAAAATTACTGTACGGAGCTATTGGAATCATCAAAATTCTATTTCAGAGTCGTTTACATATAAGTCGATATCTGGTCGACCTTTTCAACTTAAGTTTTCAACCTTGAGACTAAGTGTCTCAATTCATTCAGAAATCTCTTCGAACCTAAACCGACTACCCCGGCAAGTCACATAACAGCTATAAAGTACAAAATGAGCAGTAAATGGAGGAACGAGGCTACAACTCTCAAAACGAATGTCCGGGTCGTTACATCCTCCCCATCTTAAACAAACATTCGTCCTCGAACGGGTCAAGTATGTGTGGATATTTGCTTTGTATCTCTCGCTCAGTCTCCCAAGTATCTTCTCCGACTGGCTGGCCTCTCTACTGCACTTTCACTGAAGCTATGTTCTTTGATCTCAACTTTCGAACCTGCCGGTCTAAAATGGCCACCGGCTCCAAATCATAAGTCAAATTACCATCCAACTGTACTGTGCTGAAATCCAAAACGTGAGAAAGATCCCCGACATACTTCCGGGGCATAGATACATGAAACACTGGATGAACACTTGATAGACTAGGCGGCAAAGCAAGTTCATAAGCCACCTCTCTAATCTTCTTAAGCACCTCAAATGGCCCAATATACTGAGGGCTCAACTTGCCCTTCTTTCCGAACCTCAACACACCGTTCATGAGCAAAATCTTGAGCAAAACCTTCTCCCCAACTATGTAAGCAACATCACGGACCTTACGATCCGCATAACTCTTCTGTCTAGATTGGGCTGTACAGAGTCGATCCTGAATCAACTTAACCTTTTTCAAAATATCCTGAACCAGGTCTGTACCCAATAGTCTAGCCTCGCCCGGTTCAAACTAACCCACTGGGGACCGGCACCATCTACCATACAAAGCCTCATACGGGGCCATCTGAATACTCGCCTGATAGCTGGAGTTGTAGGCAAACTCCGCAAGTGGCAAGAACTTATCCCAAGCACGAAGCATATCCTTCAATATCTGAATAGTGCGCTCGGATTGTCCGTCCATCTAAGGGTGAAATGTTGTACTCAACTCTACCCGAGTACCCAACTCTCGT